ACCTTATCGCTCTCTACAACTATCTGAGAGGGGGCTGTGGCGACATTCTCTTCTCCCAAGTAACTAGTGATAGAACGAAAGGAAATGGCCTCAAGTTGTCCCAGAGGAGGTTTAGATTGCATATTAGGAAAAATTTCTTCACTGAGAGGGTGGTCAGGCATTGGCACAGGCTGCCCAGGGAGGGGGTGGAGTCACCATCACTGGAGGTGTTCAAAAAATGTGTGCACGTGGCACTTCGGGACATTGCTTCGTGGCATGGTGGTGGTGGGTTGATGGTTGGACTTGATGATCTTAAAGGTCTTTTCAAACCTTAACGATTCGGTGATTCTATAATCATACTGTAAGCACATTCTGGCTCTGCCAGATCTGTGGATGAATTGACTTGTTTTTCCCATCTCCAGTTTCTATTACCCCTGCCAAGATTCAACAAGAAGCAGGAGTCGGACTGCTGACTTTAAAATGTAATTATTTTGCAATAATTTGATTTGTCTAGGGTTATATCAATCCTTATGCTACAATCTAATTGTTGCTTGAAGATGAACATTATTTTATGAAAACACGATGTTAATTTTAAATTACACAGATGAAGCAGATGTTATTTCAATTCTTCTGCATATCATCTCATATTATCCAGAGACAAAATTTTTATAAATCTACCTAGGTACTTCCTTGCACTTATTAGTTCAGTAGCTGATCATCTCTCTTCTGTAAGCACTATCATATGCTCCATGTAAATGACATTTAATTGCCCTTGGGAGATTTCTTCCCTAAATATTTCACCATGTTCAGAATCAGATGATGCCTACAGCCAACATTTCTAAGAGTGCTCACCTGAGAAAAGCAGCCAGAGTTTGCCTCTTAAGGATTCAGGGATTCCCATTGCAACAAGTTTTCTGATCTTCTCTGTGCGAAACATGCACACAGTTCTGCCATACTCTACAAAATGGTCATCCCACAGGCTCTCCTTGATTTGCTCCCTAGACTGGGAACAAGAAGGTATCGTTTAAAAGAACAAACACTGTGCATATGAGAACTGGTAAATAGAAACATTTACGTATTAGAAATTCTGCAAGGTATTTCCATTACCAATGGATATGGGAAGTCTGCTCTAAGGACTACAACTTTGCCCATTTTGCATGCAGAATTCACTACACAGGGGCGAGCAGAACTGATCACAGAGGGAAAAAAATTATAAATATTCACCAGAAAGAATTTGGGGGGAAGGAGAAGAAAAAACTTCAAGCAAACAGAAAAGCCTTTATGCCATATCTAACTTCTCCAGCCAATACAGAGTTCATTTTACTAATGAGTATCTCTTTGAATGTCACCCCAGCTTTTAAAAAAAAAAAAAAAACAAACCAAAACCACTCCTACAAACCTCCCCCAAATGTTACATACCTTTCCAAAATCAAGGCCCGCCATTCCTGACTGATGAAAGTCTGACCTCAGTGCTTCTGCATTGAGCAAATAACTGCTCTCCTTTCCGCATTCGCTTCTCTCCTTGCTTTGTAAAGCCTCTGCTCCTGGACGTGCAGACTCGCTGTCCCTCAGCATGCACGTGGATCCCAAGGCAGGAGTGTTCTGCAATGCAGAATCAAAGTGGTAACAACTGAGAAGAGGTTAAGAACTATGTCCTCAACTGTCTTCAAGACACAGAACTGGATTAGCCTTTGCCTGTTGCATCAAAGCCTTTAACACTTTTCAGGAGGAAAGGCCTTACTCAAGACTTTATACAATTTATCATTCCTTTGTGTAGAATCATGGAACCTTTGGGTTGGAAGGGACCTTTAAAGATCATCTAGTCCAATCCTGCTGCAATGAGCATCTTCAACTACATCAGGTTGCTCAGAGCCCCGTCCAGCCTTACCTGGAATGTTGCCAGGGATGGGGCATCTACCACCTCTCTGGGCAACCTGGGCCAGTGCTTCACCACCCTCACTGTGAAAAATTTCTTCCTTATATCTGGTCTAAATCTTCCCTCTTTCAGTTTAAAACCATTATCCCTTGTCCTATCGCTACAGGCCCTGCTAAAAAGTCTGTCCCCATCTTTCCATATAAG